AGTTGCCAAAAGAACCCACAGGTTGCCAGTCTAGTTTGTTGTTGCACATCAACAACTAGAGAAGGGCCGATGCGGAAGAAGTGGCGGGGAGAAAAAAGACCTGAACGGCGTGCGAGGGGAATGGCTCAACGCAATACGACCGTCAGCCATTTTGAACCATACGACAGAGGCGTGCAATCGTTTCTTAAGTTTTTTTCTTGGGGATCCTGAGAAGCCTCACGATTTCCCCCCACCTCCCACGGAAAAGGAGAAGGAGGCGCAGTATTGGATTGAAAGGCGTACTCAGTTTATCTTGAAGCAGCTAGATGCCATCCGTCAAACCCTTCGTGAAAAATCCGTTGTAGAACAAGACTACTTTATCTCTTGAGCAGAATCTGAAATTCGGAAAAATATCCAACCACCCCCCTTCACTCCAGCTCCCAAAAAAGGTGAGCCCCGAGGCAGCCGACCGATTAGTGCCCAAACAAAAGGTGCGGTTGAGAGAGATTTGGCATCGGCAGGGATTTCTAGGATGACTTTTGATTGGATGGTAAAGGATTGCGACTCCTCAGCGTGGAACTCGGCGGTGGTAGAAGTAATGGGAAGGAAGGCGGTGGAATGGCTCCGGCTTTCGATGAAAATAACCGAGGAAGATGCAGCGCAGGCACCAGCCATCATTCAGCGGTGGGTCCATGGAAAATGTCGAGAGATTCAACAAGCGCAGGGGGTGGAAGTCAAGGAATACGAAGCTGGGATTCGGAAGAAGGCTAAGTTAGCAAAAGCCCAATATACCCGCTGGCGCAAAAAAGTAAGTGTGTTTCCTGTCTGAACCCCCGAGATATACCAGCCCAACTGATATATGAAAAACATCCATGTCTTCAAGATTTGTGAAAACAGGTGTGCGATGGCGGCAAAACTCTACCCTAATAATCATCGACTAGCCGTTGTTCTTGCGGATAAGGATTCACATTTGGATATCGAAGGGGCAGAAAAGGAGGGGGATCGGCCGGTTAGATGTGTGCCTGTTTGGCGAAGCGACTCACTTACCACTGTGATGCATGGGCTGGACAGATGGTGATTGCTCAAGCTCAGCAC